ACCAAGTCTTTAATGTCCAAGTCACCAAGTCTATAATGTCCATGTTGCGTCCTTCCATATTTTGAAGTTGTAGAGAGCAGAACGGGGGCCTGTTGGCCTCTAACCTGACCCACTACAGCTGTGCTGCCTCTGTTACAAACACTCCATGTTTGTATTTTGACAAAGACGTCTCACAGACGCAGGGCTGAGCCTCCAGGGTCACACTGTGACTCTGTAAACTTCCCAAAATTCCAGTGTGCACCAGCGGTGACCTGAGACGTTAACTTCAGCCTAAACTCTGACTTTTCTCAACTGCTTTACGAGCGCAGCCTAGTACACAGAGGATGTGGCAGTTCTGCACAGTAATATATTTTTAATTAGCACCGTTTATATTTATTATGCTAATCCCTGGCCTGGGAAATGACACAGGGTCACTGTGTACTGTAGTATTTACTGAGATACTTCATTTAGAAAAAAGAAAAAAAAAAGCTGCAGAGCAAACAAACAGCCTGGTCTGACCAGCAGTTAATGGTCGTCCCACCATAGACAGAATAATCAAAATATGAAATTAAATTATAATGCAATGTTTTGCATTAACAAGTGTAACCTCTGGTTATGACATTAATTTTCATGTCACACCGTATTGGATAGAAACTTTATTAATAGTTAGCAATGATATCACTAATAGTTAGAAAAATCCGTAGTGGCAGTAGCACAGCATATCAAAAACGGTCAGTAAATAAATATCCGCAGAAACTTTAAGTTAAAACTTGGAAGAAAGTACTGGGAAAATGACCAAAAAGATGTTTGACAGTCACGACAAAAAAACAAAAAACAAACTTGACGTAGCTAGACGTGTAATGGTAAAAGACAAAGGACGACAAGGAAGTCCTGTCCAGTCCTGTTCTATCTGTGTCTGGTCTCCTCTTTTATACCCCCGTCTCTCTCTCTTTATAACGTCCTGCTCCTTCTGCTGCTCCTTCTCCGTCTCCTCCTCGTCTCACAGAGATGTAAGAAGCTCCAGCTCTGAGCTCTGGACTCTGAACAAGAGCCGTCCTTGTCAGCTCCTGTTTACTCGCTGAGGTGTTTTCTCACATTGCGGCGTTAGAAGGGCCTTGCCTGGCAGCTCACACCTCTCTCTGTGTGTACACGTGTGTGTGTGTGTGTGTTTGGAGGTTAGTAATATTCTGTATGAAGCTCTGTGAATTCATCTGTGGAGCTGCTGCTGCTGCTGCTGCTGCTGCTGAGGCACAATCGTGACTGCATGGAGTAACCTGTGTTTACTGCCTGTTCCCTGCTATATTTACTGTTTACACTCTTACTCTGTGCTGTGTGAGTGTGTGTGTGTGTGTGTGTTTGGACTTGGAGTCCAGAGTATTACGCACCTGAAGCCTCCATCTTCAAGTCACTAATGAACCAAGGCAGGTCTGCCTTCCTGTTTTCTTAAACAACAAGCGTTGAAGGGAGTTCAGCAGAGTCAGAAAACAACAACAACATTAACAGGAGATTTGAAATTTTGATATATTTTTATACCTTGAGCGTTTTTGTGTTTACGTGGATTAAAGTGTTTCCCCCGTATTTTGCATAATACCAACCCAATTTCTACTTCTGTCTTTGCAATAAAGATATTTTGGGCCAAGTGTATATATTAGCACATATGCTAGCTTTGGCCATTTATTTAACCACATTTTGGTAAAAATAACCCAAACACATCCAATCGAGTGGTATTTTTAAATTAGTTTTTCTATAGATTTAGCCCATTCTTGAACTATTTTGGCTAATGACATAACATTAACAACCCTGAAGATTAAATTAGCTGTTGTAATTTTTAGTTAGCTCTAAACTGATAGCTAACTTGTGACAAATTTTTTGGCTAACTTTAAGGAATTTTCCTGTGTTTATCAATGATTTGGCTAGGGGTTTAGCTATTTTAAAAAAGCATTTGCTGATCTTGGGGCAGTTACCCTAAGCTGTCTGTAGGGGGTGTTGTTTATCCACTTTGCCTCAGTCAGTACCAATATCTTTATACATTTTTAAATTAGTAGTTTCATTTAAATATGGGGCAAATATTACATGATTATATATAAGATCAAGCCTAAAAAACATAATTTTTTTTGCTAGTTTTTTTTTCGAGTTGCCACTAGGAGGCACTTATTGTGAATATTTTCCTAATGTCTGACTTCCTGTACATTTCAAAATATATGCCTCATATATATACAAATATATGTATATATACTTATACAACATTCCTGTATATATGATTATGTATGTGTATGTGTATGTGTGTGTTTTTTTCACACCTTGACCGTCTCAGCTCTGCAGGCTGAGCCTCACCCCCCCAGTCCCCCCCACCCCTGAGACGTCTGAGTCTGTGCATTCACAGCAGATAGCATTTCCAGACTGGGCTCAGAACGTGGAGTACAAAATGACCTGAGGGATGGGATTTCCCCGAGATAATCTCCCAAACATGGGGAGCGAGGCAGAAAACATAAGGACATGTTTTTGCTCATCTCCCAAAGAAATGTCAAAAATGCTCAGTGTCAAAACAGGTAATGTTGACTCGGCTCCAACATCACCTGCTGGACCTGACATGGTGGAATCATCAGAGACCAGGAGATGTTGAGTGGAAACACAGACGTTGTTGTCGTGCTCAGTGTTCGCTGCTGTTTCACAAAACAATGTTTTCTAACATGGAAAGGCTTTTTCTTGGAAAACATTGAATGATTTGTTATTGTCCTAACGTCTGGTTATGTTTGGCTAACGCTTTGATTCATCTTATCTAATGGGTACATTTTTTGTTTTAATGTATTAGTTGGCCCAACACTTCTGGCCTTTTTCTCCCAGCCTTTTCTATACGACTTTTCTATACAAGGTTTAGACCTTAAACGATCATTAAACTATAAACCGTTTTGAGGATTGCAGACATTTCAAGGCCGTTTCACTCGGGGCCCGTGGTAATTTCAAACCCCGAAATCAGACTATCCCACAAGAATCTGCTCCGATGCTATCGATGCGTGGCTGCACATGGGAAAAGATAAAGGCACAGACAAGCGCTTGTGCAACTCGCGTCTCAGCGCTCCACTGCTCTGACCTCCTGCTCCTTCCTCCTCTCGTCTCCTCTCTCTCCCATACCAACGGAGAATGGCTGGTTTGAACCAGACGAGGAGGAATTTCAGCGCAGAAGCCAAAAAAATCAGAGACTGCAGCGGAGATCACATTGCGTGTGGATGTAGTTTTTGAACTTCCACCGACGGCCAGATTTCTCTGGGTTGGCTAACAGTTAGGGTTCATCCAACTGGGAGTTGACAAAACAGAGGATTCTTCTCTGATGAAGTCAGCTTCAACTGCACCATATTTTATTTCCCAATTGCAAAAATCCATTATTTTGTCTGACAAAAAGGCAAATGTATAACAATGTAGCAAAGTTAGGGATGGCAGAAAAGTACATGTGGGTGGTGCTGGTTTTTTTTTTTTCATTTCACTGCAACAATTGCTAATAAAGCTGGTTTGTATGTTGGAGGTTGTTGGTGATAATTTGATAGTTATACTTGTATGGTCATTAGAACAATTTAAATGACAAATTATTGTTTTGTTTTTTAAATAATAACTGTTTTTTTTTTTTGCATAGGAAAGGAGAAGCTGTGAATCCAACAACAAATTTGGACCTTACTGACCAACGACTGACAAGTTTGGACTTTACCGCACGGAAAACAGGTATGTGAATACTCACTTTTATATATTGTTTTTACTACAAGACTGACACGTTTGGACCTTACCGCACAGAAAACAGGTATGTGAATACTCCCTTTTATATATTGTTTTTACTACAATAGATAGCGGTGCTTCAATAGGAGGCTTATAATTTTGCATTACACATGTACTAATATTTTGAGAGTATTAAGAGAGTGAATCTCTGTCTGTGTCGAACGAATGTCATTTTACTGCATATATAGTAACTAGTACTTCATGGATCCCTAAGGGTAAACCATAGTTTACCTTTATTTATTTCAATAGTCAAACCAATCTCTTTTCTTCATTTTCCTCCTTGGTCTGATCCCAAAAAGGTAAAAATTATATTTATAAAGTTTTCCCGTCAAGACTTGGTCGAAGCCACGCAGGTTTATGGTGATTACACATCGTAAAGATAATTTCTGGAGTCTCATTTTCCCAGCAGGGGGGAGTTGTTTTTGAAGTAAAAAGGCAGACTGTGATCTTTCTGTGGTAGCATCTGGGGTATTTTGGCTTTTGACACGGACCAACACATACCTGTGACCATCATCTAGAAACAAGTTCCTGCTTCAGAAAATCGGGCCAAGACATTTTTTCTCCCACCCATGTGTTTTTGTGTCTCACACTTTTTTTTTTTTTTTTCTTGAGCTCTTTCTTCCGCCGTCAAACCTCCGTCCCTTCATCTCTCTCAGTGTCGAGAACACCCACACAGGCCGTTAGCCTGTATTCAGATCTGCTTTTATGAGACACCAGAGTCGGCCTGGTGGCAGGATGACTCGTAGGGTGGACAGAGAAACCATTTTGTGCCCCCGCCGTCTGGAGAATCCCCTTAAAATATTCATTCGTAAACTCCTGGAGCCTTTCGGTCCACATCAAACAGCGAGCTCACAGGGAAGGCACTAAGCAGCGACGTGTCCAGTGAGAAAAACAAACACAAACACGGGGTAAATGGGACTGGGACGGAGATTCAGCTAAATATTTATGCACTAAATATATTCTGATATATTCATTGTGTTTTTATGGGAATGGGTTGGAGCCAACGTGAGTCAACAGGATTATAAACAAAGTGGGAAAGGGTGTTAAAAATGTTTATTTATTTTGCAGAGCATCTGTGTTTATCGCTGTGAAACAAAGAAAAAAATAGATTTCTGTCCTTAGGTTTGCAAAAAAATAAAATAAAATTATTAAAACTGCATATTAAGAAATACCCAAAAACTAATTAAACAGAGGGAGTGTCATCATTTGGCGGCACCAGCTGTTCGCAGTATAAGGGGTGGATTTTGATTCAATTTTCATTTTAAAGCGACAGATAAGAGGTCCTTGAAACCTGAGGAAAGATCCTGGAAAGTTCTTAAATATGTTGCATGTTGACTTTGTTCCACTGGGGTGATAAATATTACCCTTAAAATACAGCAGTTTCTCTCCTCAACGTCAAACATATGTTTTAGTTAATAAAATAGAGGAGAAACATGGGAAATGGGAGTCGATATTTTCCAAACCTCAGCAGCTGCGTTAATCACAGCCTGTAAGATTTTCCTATAATTAATGTAGTTTTGTTTTAAATCGTTACAAACAAAATGGAAAAACAATGACAAACACAGATGCTCGGACTTGTTCCATCAAATCACATCGGTTTGTTTATAACGTTTGTCCATGAACATTGTTCTCTCGCAGTGAAAAAAAAAATGTTATTGATCATAAATAGTAACGTTTCTCCGGTGCACACTTGGATGAACTCACCATTATACTGCAAACAAACTGATTGTAGAGTTTTAGAGAGTTGTAAATATTCAGTTGACTCCAAAGAAGTTTAAAAAAAAGGTAGGCACTAGGGGCAAATTGCATTTGGAGGGTGTGTAGTTGGTGGGGGGGGGGGCAGAGTTAGCCACAAATATTGGAAATAGAAAAAGAAATTGCTAACATTTTAATAAAACATAAACAAACTTAAGAGTGGATTTTTTAGCTAAATGTACAAAACAAATATATTAAACGTTAGGTTAGCTAAAAATGCTAACTTTTAAGATTAACATTTGACGTTCTCAATTTGAAGTGAGATCTAAGTTGGCTAATTAAAAAAGAAAGAAAGAACCTGACAAACACAGGCTATAAAGAGATGAAAAAACAAAACAACTATCATTTAAACCAAAAATCCACTTAGTTCACAAAATAGTGACCAAAAAAGCTAAAAGCTAAAAAGGCTGAAGAAAAAAAGCCCAGATCAGATAAATGTTGGCTAAAAGAAGTATTAAAATTAACATAAAGATATATTAGAACAGAGGAATAAACACAATAAGTCATTTTTTTAATAAACTTTTTTTATATATATATATTTCAAACCATAAATAGTGCCTCAATTTGTATTTTTAATGGACGTCAAGTTGAAAAACAATTTCTTCGGCCAAACCAACACCATATTTCAATTTTATTGCTGATTGTCAGAATCAGTCCAGACCTGTCTGATAAATATATGCCTTTAATCAAAGGGACAGGACTGAGTGGAGAGGAAATGGAGAGGAAATGAGGAGTCAGTGTGATTAAAGCAGGAGCTGAGATGAAGGCTGTAGAAACACGTGAGAGTCAGACGAGGAGCGGTGAAGCTGCCAGGTCGATCACCGCTGCCATAACAGGATATAAAGTCAGGGAGTAAAACACAGTCGTTTGGATGTCCCAGTTAGTTTGAAGTAAAGGTAGTAAATGTGGAGATAACGTTTGAAAAAGTGGTTGTAGCTTCTGTCTTTTTTTTTTTTTTTTTAAACGTCGTCCCAGTGTTCCAGAAAACACCTTGGCCTATTTTTTATCCAGTGTCATCCCAGTTTGTCACAGCCAGGACACCAAAGGTACCGGTTGCCAAAACATGTAACCCCCAAACTCTCTCTCTCTCTCTCTCTCACACACACACACCCTCATCCTCACCCTTTTTCTCCTGTCTGTACACACCATAAATCAACCTTCTCTCTGAGGTTGACCTGCTGATGAACTGCTCCTTTTTTTTTCTTTAAGAAAAGTCATTTAAATGGCGAAAAGACGGAGGCCACACACACACACACACAGACGACACTCTCGGGGGTCATGAAGTTTAATATTTAATACCTAACTACGAGCGCTCTACTGTTTCTGGCGTGTACAGTCCCATTTCTGTCCAGTAGGAGCCGATAAAAGTTCTGTCTTATGCGGTAATGGAGTTGAGAATTCTTTCTTGAACGGAATGTGCCGGAACGTTGACCGTCCCAAGTGCATTTTCAGTTTTTTTTGCATTCGAATACATCTGTCCACGTGGCCCTAAATAAATTGTTCATACAGACAGAATGGATCAGTGAGAGGTTCAGGGGGAGAAACTTCTGTGCAGGAAAAGTCAATAACAAGCACGAGAGCCGAACATACTGTAGGTAAGACGGGAAAAACAGACGGCGTCCTGGAGGAAATCAAGTCAACATGTAGTGAGAGATGGCGATGGGAAAAGCAGGCGCCAGGCCACGGTCGTCACCTCCCTGAGCTCTAACCCCACGGATGGGGAGTTGAACCAGGAACTGAAGTCTTTGAAAAGAAGTTACAACTCGAAACGGACTTGTTGTAGTTTTGTTTGTGTGTTTTTGTCGGAGATTAACCACCGTAGTTTCAGTATGAAGCTGCGCCTCCTCTTGTGATTGGCTGTTGTCAGGTTTGACTTCAATTTGTTGGACTTTGAGAAACTATTGGTTAAGATTGACTTTTGTATGGACTTGTGTCTTCAGTGAACTCGTACGTTGTCAAACAGCAGTTTCAGATGCCGATGTTGGACAGATCCAGGATCTGTGTAATTCATGTTGTAGCAAAATTCTAACATTGAAAAATATGATCATTTTTATGCGATCGTTTCTTAGCTCCACACCCATGAAGGCAACACCGAGCTGATTCTCAACCGTTACGCCCGACCACACAAACACAAAGATGAGATTTGCCTTCTGGGAGTTGCGTTATGGTCAAACGGAAAGATTTCCATTATAAACACGGTTAGCGGTTAGCTGTTGTCATGTAGCTGGTAAGTTTCTTACAGAGATGTGTGAATTATTAATACACCTACAGGCCCAGGGCAGGTTCTCAGTCATCAATCATAGATTCCTGCTATGGATACTAGTCATCAGTTGCAACTGTATATGGGTGTTGAGAAAATTGCAATTTTTCCTCGAGTTAAAAGATATAAGATATGCAGTAAATGAACCTGGGGATTGAAAATGATACACAGAAAGTCTTCATCTTTGACCTCTGGCTGCCGTGAACTCTTGCAGCTTTTCTTATGATTCAGAACGTCTAGAGAAAAAAAAAAAAAAAATAGAAAATCTCCCAATAGAATGGTTTAGCAGAGAATGAGTCCAAACAGATGGACTGGGGCAGAGGGCAAACTGTTTAATGATTAATCCGCCTCAGCCACAACAGGGAAGACACAAACACAGCCCAGGAGAAGAGGCCGCGTAAACCATGTCAGAGTCAAGAGACACGCGGGCAAATATGCCATCATTCAGCCTGCTCACTGGACCTCGTGCACATCGGATCCTTAAGTGGTGCACCGGTTAAAAGGAGGGCTATTTTTAAAGCCTAACAATCTGTGCTGCAGATGAGAGAGTGGGCGATGTGGAGGCGCACATGTTTACTCGTGGAGACAAACACAGACATAACAAAGAGAAATCTACTTTTAAAGCTTTGTTTTTATTTCTGCACCGCATGAGGCTGTTACTGCACAGAGTGGACAGCAGATGGCAGAACGTTAGAAAAACCTTATCTTAGTGAGCGATTTTGGTTCTTATACATTTGACTTTGTGTGCCGTAAGCTGGGATGATGTGTGAGGAAGTCAGGTGCGGCAGAAAAGTACACAGAGATGGTGCAGTACTGCAAGGGTAGTTTTCATGTTTTGCGATTCGATAAAGGTAGTTAACTAAAATAATTTTGATATTTCAATAACTAAGACGAAACTAAAGTTAAAACAGTTCTATTGAATAAATTAAGACTA